TTTTTTTTGGGGGGGGTCCTCTTCCTGTACTGTAATACATACTGACACATGTATGTTACTCTTCTTGATGGTATCCCACGTAATCCTTAGGCTTTCTTAATTTTTTCTCTTTCTTTTTTCTGATTGTTCCTCTAACAGATTAGTATTAAGAGATTTGTCATCATTCTCTCTAATTTTGTCTTCCATCGATCCAGTTCTACTCCTTTGTCCTTCCAATGCATTATTTATTTATGAAATTTTAGTATTAACCTTCTGGATTCCTATTTGCTGTTTTTGTATGGTTTCTCATTTTCCACTTATTTTATCAATTTATTCTTTTGTTTATTTATTTTGAATTCTTCTAGAGTTTGATCTGTGTTTTCCTTGACTTTGTCTATGAGTTCCTTGGTGTCATCTTTGTTTCCTTTGGTCTCTTTCTTAATCTGATGAAGGGTTGTAAATGTAATCCTTTTGAATTCCTTATCAGGTAGTTCCAGTAGCATTTTATACTCTGGAAGATTTTATGACTCTATTTTGGTCACTTACTTGAGCCTTCATCTCCTGTTTGTATGTGATTTGGAATTTTTTCCAAGACATTGTGGTGTTATTATATTTACTTATTGATTATAGCTTGGTTTGCTTCTCCCTGATTTTTGGTTTTGTTTTACTGTATCCAGGCAACATATTGGGCATGCTACTGTCATCACTAGTTTGGCCGTACTGGGTGCTTACTACCTGTCTCCATATGGATTTGTAGCAGGTGGGAGTGTGGGTGCAAGTCTCTGATCATTGGTTGTGTAGAGAAGTTGAGGCCAAGATGGATGGATGTTGGCTGCTGTCTACCAGTGTTCCAGTGGTGTGGAGTGTTGGCACTCTTCTCAAGTTGGGGTAGTAGGTGTGGCTGTATGGTTGGGTAGTATCACTGGCTTCTGACTGATGGGGAAAAAACTAAAAAGGGACACAGAAGAGGGAAAAAAAGAAAAGAAAAAATAAAAAAGGGAGAGGAAAAAATAAGAAAGAAAACAAAGAAAAGGGAAAAGAAAAGCAGCACAATACTAGTACAAACTATAGCTGCCAAGCACACAAGTGTAGCAGGTATGGCTGGGTATAATTGCTGGCATCCATCTTATGAGGAAAAAAGAAAAAAAAAGGTGAAGGAGAGAGGAAGAAGAAGGAAAAAAGAGACAAAAGGCAGGGAGAGGGAAGAAAGGGGGGGAAAAAAAGCATCATAGCACCAGTGCAAATTTCAGCTGTCAAACACACAGGTGTGGTGGGTATGGCTGAGTAGATTTGTTAGCTCCCATCTTATGGGGAAAAAAGAAAAGAAGAAGGTGGGGAAGAAGAAAGGAAAAAAAAAAAAAAAAAGACAACAGCATAGCATCAGCCCAATCTCTAGCCACAGATGTCTGAGATCTGCAAAAGTGTGCTTCAGGCTGCTAATGGAGTGAAGCAACAGATTGAGGGGGCAGGAAACTGGGCCAGGTGGAACACCAGGTGGGGGAGGACAGTGGGGGAGGTTTGTCCAGCTGCCAGGTGGGTGGGGGTAGGGCTGTGCCTCTGGTCACTCACTGGGAGGTTATATGGGGTAAAGAGGATGATCACACCTCTCTGGTCACCAAACACCAGGGTGGGTATCTGCAGTCCTGGGTGAGTGAAGCCGATTATCTGGTTCATGTCCCAATTGGGATGCTGCTAGCAATAATTCAGAATGGCTGTACTGTGCTAGGCCAGTTGGCAATTCACCATTCTGTAAAACACCTTGTTTGCTGTTTTCATTCAGTTTCTTCTTCTAATAGGTTTTTGATCTACTGCTTTATCCTTTTCTTTGAGCACACAGTTCCAGGATTGCAATATCTCTGTATTTCACTTGGTTTCTTGGGTCTCTGTTGTAGATGGTCTCAGGTCTCAGCCGTATATCTGCCTAGTTTGCCATCTTGGATCCTCTTCAAAACTCTGCGTTCTGATGTCAAAATATGTTCTAAAATTCAAGCTCTTAAGTAACCCCCATGGCTCAACTTTGAGCCAAATAATTGACAAACCTATTAGTTGAATGACCATGTTGTCAGAAGAGACCATTCCCTGGATATCATGCTTAGTAAAGTGGAGGGTCAACAAAAAAGAGGAAGGCCCTGAACAAGATGGACTGACAGTGACTGCAGTGATGGGCTCAGGTATAGCAGGTATTGTGAGGCTGGCACAGTGTTTTGTTCTGCTGTACATAGGGTCGCTATAGCACCCTATGTATCGATGGCACCTAACAACAACAATATTAGTTGAATAATAACATTAGGGAGGTATGAACTCTTTAAAACAATCATCTTTATCAGATCAAAAGGGCAGTATTTGACCAGAGTTTAGATGGCGGGAAGGGATAAGAAAGAAGAATGAATGGAAGTGGAAAACAGAGCAAAAGTGGCTTGAGTGCTGTTACGTTGTGGGGATTTCAGTCAATGCCATGAAACAAAATGTGTATGAATTGTTGAATGAACACGGAAGTTGTTTTGTAAAAAAAAAATAAATGAAATCCAAGCTATTCGATATTGAATCTCCGTTGATTTTGAGAAATAACTATTGAGTCTTAATATTTTTGTCTGTAAAATTGTAGTGATAAATAGATTCAAACATTCACCCAAATCACATTAAAAAAAAAATTTTAGGGAAAAAAAAAAGATTCAAACAGAGCTCTTAAGGATTAAATGAGATATGCTATGTAAAACAAATAATTAATGACAGAGTGAAGTTATTTCTTTTTTAAGTGCACATGCTACTTTCTGACATTCCTCAAGGAATTTTTTTTTTTTTCAGTATAAAAACTCCTAGAGACCAGGTCATCATATCCTAATAAATAACTGCCAAAAGGAACAATAAAAATAATGCTTCTGCAGAACCCAGTGTAGAGAAAACACCAATATGTCTCAGGTTAGGATTCAAATGGACATATAGGTTTTTCACTTTTGTAAATTTTTTGCTTTGTTAAAGTGATACTCTGTTAGCAATGATTCACATTTGCAATATAAAGGCTGTTTTGCTAGCAACAGAGATCCACTGTCAGAGCTTTGAGAATAGCAATAAAACTTACTAGGAGGTAGAAGGATGCATTGTAATACATTAGAAAATCTTGAGAACATAACGTGTAAACATCATTAATCACTAAAAAAAAGAACACTAAAACATACGAAATAGGAGATTTAATATTTAATTAAAAAAAAAAAAAAAAAGAATGCCCACATATGTGTATATTGGGGAGTTGCAGCTGTCCTGTGAATTAAAGATGTTTATCAGTATCCCTGCTTATCAGTTTATCAGTATCATCTCACTAGATGGCAGTAGCACACCCTACCCCACCCTGTTTTGATAACCAAAGTGTCTCCACACATTGCCAAATGTTCCCTGAGGGACAAAATCACCCCACTAAGAACCACTGAGCTAAACCAAGGTTTTAATTCCACTTCCAGAATCTATGATTATGAATTTGAGCAAGTTGCTTAACTTTTAAACTTAGTCTTAGTTTTCTTATTACGTGAGATAGTATAATACTTAGCTCTATACCTGACACATAGAATTAGTAAATAACAGCAATATTATGACACTAAAACGTGTTCTCACTTGTGCCACTCTGTCTCTTTATCTCTCTAAAAGTGAAATGCTTCTTTGTGTAGCCTGTGGCCAAGCTGTTGAACAAGAATTTCTCATCTAAGATCTTCAAAAGGCGTTGATATTTTTATGTAGGCAGTTAGCACACACCTCAGGTTTGCTTTCTCCTGGGCTCCTCATCTTACATTCTTGTCTGAATTGGGCAGAGTTGAGCATGCACTATCTCATCTGAAACTCCTGGCACAGCATCATGTATGGTGTTCTTTGTGTATACATAAGCTTTTGAATTAGGCTCAGTACGTTAAAAAACTAATTCAGGCTTACAGAAATTGGGAAGATAAGACTAATGCTTTATTGTTGTTCATTGTTATTTGTGGTGGTTTTGTTTTTAACCCCGAGGCACCAGCCAATCAAAAATACAATATTTATTTATTCTATGGCCTACTTTTTTTTTGTAAGAATGATTAAAAATATTAGTAGCCTATAATTGCTTTTACATATGTTATCTCGTTTAAAGTTTATTAAAATTCGAGACATTGAAGGGAGAAGAAAGATAAGGAAAAGGGAAATCATGGTATACTGTAAATGCACAGCGAGACGGTACTGTGCATTACACTAGAAGAATGCATTGTAATACATTAGGAAATCTTGAGAACATAATGTGTAACATTAATCACGAGACAAAAGAACACTAAAACATGAAATAGGAGATTTAATATTTAATTTAATATTTAATTAAGTAAGTAGCATTATCTCTATTTTGTAGGCAAGAATAAGCGATAGCTTATAGCTAGTAAGTGAATAACAGAACCATTGGAACCTAGGTTTTCATTCCAAAGCCTATGCTATTGTCACACAATGACATGCTTTCAGCCCTCCAAATAAGGAGCATGTACCTTTGCTTTAAACTTCTTTGTAAATTGTTATCATGACCAACCCTCGAGACCATACATAGTATAATATGTAGGACATTGTGACTGTGATAGTCATTTTTTCTGTATTTAATGAGGTATAAAGATCTGTCTTGTCTAGTGTCAGCTTCTCTAGTTCTCTGTGGTCTCAGCTTCTCTGCTCTTCTGATCTAGTGCAGTTATATTGGGCTTATGAGAATGAAGAAAGTTTGTAAATGCAGGCTTTTTTGTCTGAGTGAATAAACCTTATTTTTAAAATTATGTTTATTATCTTAGCTTTTATGGTTTCATATTGCTCAAGAAGGCAGAGCAGTTAAATCTGAAGCTATGAATTACATGTTTGCCAAGGGCCAAGTAAAAGCAGACTTTAAAATCAAGAGGACTTTATATCCGATAAGAAAAATAATCCCCAAACTGCCACATGATCTATTTGTTCTGTTGGACTGCTCAGTAAAAGATATTTTTAAGTTTAGAGTGTCCTAAACTTTACTGTCTCGGTGTAATTTGTATTTTTAGTTGAGAGAAGAAAAGTTACAAGAGGAGAAAACCTCTGAAGATCAAAGCCACAAACTGTTGTTACCAGAGGATACAGAAACAGGGAAAAGGAAGATGGATGAACAGAAAAAAAGAGATGAGCCGTTAGCACTGAAATCAAATCTGGAACGTGTAAGTAATAAATCACCTTTTGATGGACAGCTGCCTCAGAATCAGCAACTAGTCCAGGTGACATGGATCCGAAAATCCTATGTTGATGAATTATGAGACGAGGAATAGTCATTGATTGTACACCTTCAGAATAGTGAAGAGCTTAGTATTCAGATGAGAGCTGGAGAAAATAATTGATGAATGGGACAGTGAAACCTGTGTGGGAAGTTCAGGGAACAGGCAAAAAAGATGAGTGAGAGGAAAAACAATGTAATTTATTGCCTGTGGTGAGTTTTTTATGTATATTACTTTTGGTTTGTTATTTAACATTTTCTTAAGGCTTGTATTTTACTTCTATTTCTTTTTTTTATAATGTTCTAAGCAGTGCAGTACTAGATATAAGGTAGGTTCTCAATATTAGATTAGAAACTTGATCTAAAATTCATGTAGTTAGACCTCTAGTTGGGCCAAATCTTGCCTGATGTTCTTTTCATTATTTATTTACCAAGCAAATTACTGTAAAAACTTTTAAGAGGTTTATTTAGTTACAGGTATATTTATTTATATAAGAAAGCACTTTTGAAGGGCCCACTGATTACACTCAAATGAATAATTACAATTGAATTTCATTTCTTTAGTTAGTCATATTGGATTGGACATCTGCTGTTGTTGCCATGTGTAATATCTTTTAGAGTAATATCTTTTAAAATAATTCTGTGATTTACGCTTCTTAATATTTCAGGTTAATCTTTCTAATTAGTCAGAATTAATAAAGGTTTGCTCTGGTGGCGTAGTGCCTAAGGCATTTAACTACTAACCAGAAGGCTGATGGTTCAAACCCACCAGCCGCTCCTCAGAAGAAAGATTGGGCAATCTACTTCTCTAGAGATACTACCTTGGAAACCCAAGGAGGGATCACTATGAGTCGGAACCAACTTGATGGCAGTGAGTTTTTAAGTATATATAAAGGCAGGCAACATAAGAGTAGGGAAAAAAAATCCCTGGACCAGAAATTTCCTTTCTAGACAAGTCCCAGCATTGGAACAGATTGTATCACTTAGCCAAGTTGCTTAATTTCTTTGTTATTCTGATTTACTCTTTGCAAAGGCATTTTTTCCTAAACTTCAAAAATAGAAATTATTTAAGCTTTCTGGGATTGCTAATCAGAAGGCTGGCCGTTCAAACCCACCAGCCACTCCTCGGAAGAAGTTGGGCAATCTATTTCCCTAGTGATACGGCCTCGGAAACCCAAGGAGGGGTAGTTGTGAGTCGGATATGACTTGAGGGCAGTGAGGTTTTTTTTTTTGGGGGGGGGGCGGGGGGGAGGTGGTGGGAACCAGTAGTATTTGCTGACTCCAACATGCTTTCTGATTTTATTCATACTAATAATAATAGTTACTATTTAATTACTATTAAAATAATCACTTGCATTTTATAGGGTTTCAATCTTCTAAAAGACTCAGTTTAACAAGCATGAATTTGCTTATATACTCCTAAATGCTTTATACATTGATAACTACAAAAGGCAGAAGACTGATAATAGACAGGATGTAATTTAGCTAGTAGCCCTAGCTGTGTTCTGTGGTCTCTTAAAGATTGAAGCTCTACCTTTTATCCCCAACAGGATTGCGTATTATTGCCCTCAGGCAAAACAACCTAGAAGGACCCTTCTTTGTGGGACATCCAGTCTTGACAGAAAGGGCTCATCCTTCACCTTGGTTCTCCAACAGGAAGAGCCTGCTGCTCCTGGCCTGGCCAGAGCCAGATTCCCTCTAGGAAATGTTCTCTTTTGTTAATTCATGTCAAGATAGGAAATTATTCAAATTATTTTTTTCTTTTGCCACCATCCTTTTTTAAATAGAAATCAGGTGTGTCAGCTTAATTTAATCTTAAAAGGAACAAAAAGAAGAATCAGGAAGTACAAATCTCAGATTTATTTTTAAATAACCAATTTATTTTAATAACCAATTTCACCAAATTTTCTGTGTAAGAACATATCGAATAAACTCTGATGTATGAATACTTTAAGCTTTAGATTTTTGTAATTTTCCCTTTTTTCTGTTTGTTTTGTATTTTTGATGACTTTTAAATGGCTCTAATTTTACTTTAAATATATCTTAAGAGTGTTCGGTGTTGATCAAATAATTTCATTTAGTTTAGCCAAGGCTACATTTAAATTGGTACTCAAGAGACAGTCAAATGGTCTTAGTGGAAAACTAGGTTAAAGATTATATTTCATACAGGAAGAATTATGATTAGAGCTTGACTGATTATTTCACTTTCCTGTCTTAAAAAAAAAACCCTCTGTGACTCTCCATTTGTAGAATTAAAACTCTTCACACTGATATTCAAGGCCTTAGTATAATTCTAGCTTATCTTTCCATCTTTTCTTATACCAGAACTCCAGGGAACAAATACCGCCCCACCCCCCAGTTTGCCAGTTGAAAGGCTATTCATCTCTCCATGTCCAGTTCAAAAGATGTCACCTTTATAAAACCTTTAGAATTCCCCACTGGCTTCTCCACTCCCTTCATCCTCCCCTGTCTCCTCTTTTTTAATTTTTATGACTTTATTTCATTCTCCCTTACATTCTATTATTTGTTCACTAGATTTTAAGTTTGTTGAGTATAGAAAATGTGTCTTGCTCATTTAAAAAAAAATCTTTTAAAATCTCCTATACGTTTGTTAAATTGAATTATGGTGGAAGGAGTAAAATGTTTATTCTAGAAATAGATCATCATCTGTTACTATTTTTTGAAGATGTAAATAAAATGGGTGCAATATTTGTTATGATTTGTTACCATACAAGTAATACCATATGAATTGTTGGAAAACAATTTGGTGTATCACAATTATAGTTTTACCAAAAATTATAAAGCAGAAAGTGAAAATTACTTGTACTCTCATAACCTAGAGACAACCTCTGTAAACATTTTGGTAAATATTCTTCCATGCTTCTTTTTCTAAGCACATATGTACACCCAATGTGATTATTTTTCTTTTCAGAAAATGTAGCCCAGTGTACAAACATTTTTTAGTTAACTATAAATCATGGATGTCGTTTCATATAAATAAGAATCCTCATCATTATCTAATGGTATTCTAATATTCTTGATTTTTGCATTTATTTGACTAGTTTATTTCATTAATCTGCTGATATTTTGTTATTTTAAACATCACTGTCTTATAAGTTCCTTAGAATAAATTACAGGCATACCTCGTTTTATTGCACTTTGCTTTATTGTGCTGTTCAGATACTGCGTTTTTACAAACTGAAAGTTTGTGGCAACCCTGTGTCAAGGAAGTCTGTTGGTGCCATTTTTCCAACAGCATGTGCTCACTTTGTGTCTCAGTGGCACATTTTGATAATTCTCAAAATACTTCAGACTTTTTCATAATGCTTGTCACACACTTAATAAACTAGTATAGTAGTATAAACATAACTTTCATATGCACTGGGAAACCAAGTAATTCATGTGATTTGCTTTATTGTGACACTCACTTTATTGCAGTGGTCTGGAATCGAGCCCGCAATATCTCCGAGGTATGCCTGCACTAGAAGTGGAATGCCAGGTCAAAGGGGTATCCTTTTTAAGGCTTTTGGTATTTATTACTCAATTGTTCAACAGAGAGCTTATATATAGTTATACTTACACCAATTATACATGAATGCTAAACTAATTTTCTCATATGCTTGCCAACTCTGGGTATTATCATTCTTTTAAATTTTTTAGATATTGCTTTAGGGATTTGTTTATTCATTTTTAACTTTAGGAATTTATTTTTGTTTATACTGTTTTAGGTAACTATAGTATTATAGGCTTATTTTTATCCAAGCTGAGAGGTAAATATTTTCCTATCTTATGGTTCTAGGCTTTATAGAGGTATAAGGTTAGAGGGGTAAAGTAGCTTCTTTCTAATTAATTAATTGTAATAATTTATTTTTCATGATTAAAGGAACTTGCCATATATCTACTATAATAATACTGACGTTTCTTATTAAAAGTTTAATAGTATTTAAATTAGCACAGATAAAATCTATCTTTTGTTGAGCACCTACTACTTGTTGGCTAATGTACTAGGTGTGTTTAATGACTTACCACAGTCTATGTGGCTTACTGCGACTGACCATCTTTATTTTACAGATGAGGAATCTGAGGCTCAGAAAGATAAAGTAACCCACAATGACAGTACTAGCTAAACAGTAGAGCTGAGTTTTGAGTAATTTTTTATTTCATATTGAATTGATTGTGTAGGAAGGCCTACTAGACAGAAATTACAATATTTATCCCCTGTGGAGTCTATGGGTATCAAAATGTCCCTCCTCCTCCCCCCCAAATTGGGAAGAGAATTTCATATAAAATTCAATAATGGGTTAGTGTGATTGAAGTTTGTCTAATGACTATTTTGTGTGACAGAATTCTTTAAAGAGTGATACCCTAAAAAATTGAAAAGTTTGTATATAAATTGTAATCCTTCAACTCTCCCTTCAAAGGTTGGCCAATAGGAAACACAGCCTATTGTATGTATTAGCCTACAAGCCCAGAGACTAACAAAGCATTGACAGAAGGTAGGGTACTCCAAGCCATATATGTCTACATATGCCTATATAGGGACCTGTGGTGGTATAGTGCCTAAGGCATTTGACTGCTAACCAGAAGGCTGGCAGTTCAAACCCACCAGCCACTCCTCGGAAGGAAGGTTGGCCAATCTATTTCCATAGTGATACCTCCTCAGAATCCCAAGGAGGGGTTGCTATGAGTCGAATCTGACTTGCTTGACAGCAGTTAAGTTTAGTTGTTTTTTTTTTAATGCCTATATATGTCTATAGGAACTCTTGGTGGTATAGTGCCTGAGGCATTTGACTGCTAACCAGAAGGCTGGTGGTTCAAACCCACCAGCCACTGCTCGGAAGGAAGGTTGGGCAATCTACTTCTGTAGTGATACTGCCTTGGAAACCCAAGGAGGGGTCACTCTGCGTCGGATCCATCTCCACAGCAGTGAAGTATATGTCTACAACT